CTACGCCTCTTCACTACGACAAACAATAGACCACAACTGAACTTTGGCGAACATAGAGACACCACAACAGACCACAATCGAACTCCGGTGAACACAGAGGCACTATACAGACCACACCACAACAGACCACCGACAACACAGTGCCACCATGAACAACCGAACTTCACCAAACACAGTACCACCACAACAGACCACCACCAACAACTCCACCACAACAGTATTCTGATAAAAAAAATAAATTAATTTATTCAGAATATATATTTATGATCGTAAAATTAATCTACCCGAGCTCTACAGACCTTGTTGTCTCATTTTCAATGACATTGTCGTCTTGGACATCATTCTCTTCAGAATCTGAAACGCCAAGTTCCCAGTCTTAGTTATGTGTCGTCTTTGTCTTGTGAAGCTTGTCAACTTAGTAAGCATCACCGTGTGTCATTTCAGTCTAGAGTCAATAATCGTGTGTCTAGTCCATTTGAATTAGTCCATTCTGATATATGGGGTCCAATAAAGAATATTTCATCTAATAAATATCTTTATTTTATGACATTTGTGGATGACTATTCTCATGTGACTGGGCTATTTTTGATGAAAGCTTGGTCTGAATTATTCTCTATATTTGAGACTTTTCGTAAAGAAATAAAAACTCAGTTTGGTTGTTGTATATGTACTTTACGTTTCGATAATGCTCGGGAATATGAATCTGATCATTTTTCAGCTTATCTTAGTAAAACTGACATTATTCATCAGACTTCTTGTGCTTACACCTCTCCACAAAATGGTGTTGCTGAACGCAAAAACCGCCATTTGTTGGAAGTCACCCGTGCCTTGTTATTCCAGATCAATGTTCCCCGATATCATTGGAGTGATGCTGTTCTTACTACTTGTCATCTTATTAATCTTATGTCCTCCTCTATGTTAAATGGACAAAGTCCATATTCTGTTCTGTTTCCCTGGTAAGTCCTTATTTTCCCTGACTCCTAAGGTTTTTGGTTGTGTCTGTTAGGTTCACAATTTGGGTCCTGAATTTGACAAACTTGACCCTCGAGCTACCAAATGTGTATTTCTTGGTTACTCCTGCACGCAGAAGGGATATTGTTGTTATAGTCCTTCTCTGCACCGGTATTTTACTAGTACGGATGTCACATTTGAAGAAACTGCTCCATACTTTCCAGCACTTTCTCAGCCTTTGGATCTGGACTTTGGCTCCTCTCCTGTACCACCATCAGATATTCCGCTGCCCACTGTGTTATCATCTACTTTACCTCTCTGTGTCTACTCTCGCCGTCTTCGTCCATTGACTGAAGTACCCGTACCACCTTCCTTGCCGCCTTCTGATCCTGGAACATCAGGTAATTTAGATTCTTTACCTATTGCTCTTCGCAAAGGTACTCGTTCATGTGTTACTAATCATCCCATTTCTCATTTTGTTTCATATGATGCCTTGTCTCCTGTCTTCTCTTGTTTTATTTCCCAATTATCTGCGATATCTATTCCTAAACATTTACATGATGTATTATCTGATCCGGGTTGGAGGAAAACTATGAAGGAGGAGATGGATGCTTTACATAATAATGGGACTTGGGATCTCGTTCCTTTATCCTCTGGTAAATGAACTGTTGGCTTTCGTTGGGTGTATACTGTTAAATTTCATCCAGATAATTCTGTGGAGCGTCTTAAAGCCCGACTTGTTGTAAAAGGCTTTACTCAAACATATGGTGTTGATTATGAGGAGATTTTTTCTCCTGTTGCCAAAATTTCATCTGTTCGTATCTTGATTTATTTGGCTACTAATCTTGATTGATCCTTGTTTCAGTTAGATGTCAAGAATATCTTTTGACATGGTGATTTGTTTGAAGAGGTCTATATGAAGTAGCCACTTGGGTTTATTGCTCAGGGGGAGTATGGTAAGAGTGTATGTCGGTTAAAAAAATCTTTGTATGGTTTAAAATAGTCACTGAGGGCATGGTTTGGTAAGTTTTCAGATACAGTTTTGGAGTTTGGTCTTCTTCGATGTCAGACAGATCATTCTGTGTTTCATAGGCAGACAGATGTTGGGTATGTCCTATTGGTGGTCTATGTAGATGATATTGTGATTACTAGAAATGATTCTGAGGGGATTGCCAAGTTAAAAATATATTTACAGGATTGATTTCATACTTAGGATTTGGGAAAATTCATGTATTTCTTGGGTATTGATGTGGCTCGATCTAAACAGGGTATTTGTTTATCTCAGAGAAAATATGTACTTGATATGCTTGAGGAAGCAGATTTGTTGGGTGGTAGACTGATTGATGTCCCTGTGGATTCGAATCAGAAATTATTGATGGATGATGGTGTATTGTTTGAGAATCTGGGTTGGTATCGCAGATTGGTTGGGAAGCTTAATTATCTCACTATTACTCGACCGGATATTTTCTATGCAGTCAGTATAGTAAGTCAGTTCATGGGATGTCCTAGAGTACTATATTGGGAGGCAGTTACTCGTATTCTGCGATATCTCAAACGAGCTCCTGGACTTGAACTGTTTATTTGAGCTAATGGACATCTTAGAGTGGAAGGTTTCTCAGATGCTGATTGGGCTGACTCACCACTGATTATTGTACTTTCCTAAGAGGTAATGTTGTCTCATGGAAAAGTAAGAAACAACCCGTGGTAGCAAGATTCAGTGCTGAGGCTGAGTATATGGCAATGACATATACGAAGAGTGAGTTGACTTGACTACTACACTTCCTCAAGGAAATTGGGTTTCCAGTTCAACTTCCTTTACAGTTGTTCTGTGACAACTAGACAGCTATCCATATCGCTGTCAATCCTGTGTTTCATGAGAGAACCAAGCATATTGAGGTTGACTGTCATTTTATTCGGGACAAGATAGTAGTTGGGAAAATTACAACTCCATTTGTGAAATCTGAAGATCAGCTTGTAGATATGTTTACCAAAGTATTGAGTCGTACACGTCTTACAGTTATTTGTTACAAGTTTGGATTATATGATATATATAGTCCAGCTTGAGGGGAAGTGTTAAGAATAATAGGGTAGTATGTGTAAATTGTTAATAGTAAGAGAGTATATGTGTTATTATTATTATTGTAGGTTAACTATAAATACAAGTTATGTATGAGAGCTAAGTTAAGTTTTTAACTTCTCTCTGTTTCTCCCAAATATTGTCTCTAATATTATGTTAATCTTCCAAACTTGACACATCTTAGTAGCTAACCCACCTTCTACACCAATGACAGGTAGGTTGCGATGAGAAGGAGGTTTTTCTTTAGGGTGCCTCTGTCCATCATGGAGTAGTACGTCCTCTGATAATTGGAGATCATAGTTAGTGGGATCAATAAGGATTGGAGGCAGTGAAAGTGCTGTGCGGCTGGTTCCCGAGACGAGGGCTCTCCCATCGAACATGGTTCAAGGCTTATTTCGGTGGTAGAAAACTTAGTCGTTTCTCACAGACGGCCAATTGTGCGGGAATAATTTCACATAAGGAGTAACCACCTCGTACGGAGAGGGTTGTGAAGAAGTCTCGTGAAACCTGCAAGACAAAAGAGCACCTAAGTGAACCGATGGCTTGAGGCGGTCAAAGGGACTCCGATGCTTGAGTCAGATCGCAATTCAGAGAGTAGTATTGAGTAAATAGGTTAGGATTGAATTTTCAACCCGGTACCCAAAGACCTTTATTTATAGTGGTAGGAAGTTATGTTCTAAAGGGACTCGAACTCTACGTTGTAGTAGGATGGATCTTATTATCAGCTCCTAGATATTTGGGGTAGAGTTAGACCAGAACACTTGCTTCGAGGTCCTTATCATTATCTCTTGGTTGTTCGTACTAGCATTTAACTAGGACTCCTGCTCCTTAGTGCCGTATCACCTACCCCTAAATTTTCGGAGTAGTATCGCACTAGGATACTAGGTCCTAGATTAAAGGAAGTGATGTGCTTGGTAGGAGGTGTTGTTAGCCTTAGCACTAGTCCCTTGATACTCGGAGTAGAGTTGGACTAGGACTCTAAGTCCTTGGTTGGTCCTTAGTTGAGTAAGAGTTTCCTAGCGAAGGTGGACAAGGAAGCTTGTAGCAAGGAGGTAGTTGAGTAGTTGAGGCTTAGTGGTTGCAAGTAGGCTTGTGTAAGGACCTTCGTGAACTAGTGCCGATTGGCAGGCTCTCGGCCAAGAGGCTGCCGAGTGGCAGTGGTTCTCCCTTGCAAGTGCCGACCGGCAGGAGGTGCCTGGTCCTTGCAAGTGCCGACCAGCAACAAATGCTTGGTCCTTGTAAGTGCTGACCGGCAGCTCATGTTTGGTCCAAGCAAGTGCCAACCGGCAATATGAGCTTGGTCCCGCAGGTACATTTCTTCCAGTTTAGTTGGGATCACTGGAAGATAATGCAGTGATAAAATGCTGAAGCTGATAACCACAAGGTTGGGGGTTCAAATAGGAGTGAAGTCAATTTCTGCGAATAATGCCAAAAGTTAAGCTTCCATTCAGTCCTCCACTCCCAACATTGTCAACTAATGTGGTCCAAATCAGATGATGACATCTTTCTAGTTTGTTTTTCTGTTTCGGTATGCTGAAAAAGACAGACTTATAGGCTTTAGCTTCTGAGGCAAGTAAAGTAATTCTTAATACCTGTGCTAATCAACGTAGCTATCAATCAGAACTCAAAAGTTTCTGATGAATCTAAATTTTGTTTTATTTCTGCGTTGTTACACTCTTAACACAAATTAGCCACCTGTGGCACATGCAAAATGCCAACTTTGCACACATTTGAATGACTTATGTAAAAATCATCTTACTTAGATAAATTTGGAGATAGGCACCTAGATGTGCACAGTTGCATTTATATGCTTACTTAGATGTATATCTAGTAGTAATATATGCATGTGCTATGCATAAGGAGTATGGTGATATTATAGCTATAGTCACAAAGGGCAATGCCCAGTCTTGCAGTGGTGTGATGCTTAGTGTGGTGATAAATAACATAGATCTATTGGTCAGTGCATTACTTTATGATGCGTACATCATTTTTCCCTACCCATTTGCCATTTGCCACAGGTCTTTCTGTAGGAGTTCCTGCACATCCTTTGTACAAACACCTAGCATCCGCTTTGTACCAGTCCATATCATCTGGCGCCTTCTGTAGTACGTATAACAATATGACATTGATTCATGAAGACAGTTCCTTAAAGCAGAAGGAGGATCAGTGGATTAAATCGATTATGGAGAATGGAGCTGAGCCAATAAAAGTAAGTTAGAAGTGGCAATGTTGTGCATTACCTGTTGTACATCTTTTTGTTGCTGATTAGTGCACGAAGCTCTTACAATTATTGATGTCTCTGATAACTATTTTATCAGATGCTGCAAGCTGTCAATTTTGAACTTCATGTTCAGGAACCTTTCTTTTCCCAGCTCAATGGTATTGATATGTGTGTTATGATTTCTGATTACTTTGGATGCCTTGCCAGAGCCTTGTTTGTATTTTGTTATTTGGTTTGTGATCGATTATTTTCTGTACAGTCAAAGCTTATTAGTTCTGGAAATCTGTCATTATCTGCAGATGGACTGAAAACAATTGAAGGAAGATGTGCTGTTGGTGACTACAGCCGGTTTGGCTTATTTAGTTCTTTCTATATATAACATGCATTTTGCTGCCATTTTTCCAGATTTTGTTTTTCATTTGTCCCTCCATAATTATAGCTTCTTAGTGTTTTATTTGTCCCCACCAAATGCAAAAACTATGGAATTGTCAAAGTGCCACCTAATTTGGTTCCATATCATACCCTGAATAACCAAGCACGACTAGTGACTCAAACTGCAGCAATTTTTAACCACGAAATGAATTTATTTAATTAGATATACTTCAATACAGGGATCCTTCAGAAAGATAAGAGAGTTTGTTAGAAATCAACTAAGCTACTAAATTTTTTTGTGCATATGTAAAATGGTTTGTGGGGTTATGGGGATAGGAATTCCTACACACCTAAGTTGAATGTTTAAGGAGAGCTTGTATCTCAAATTAGATGCTTAGAGCTACCCAAGGTAGGTCAATATGATTAAGGGATCTCTACACTCATTTTCAATTAGTTTTGGGCAAGGATTAAAATATCATTTCGAAACGGTCGAAACATCCGAAACGTTTCTGTTTTCAGGGAGACCGAAACAAATCAGTGATGAAAATTTTTTTTTAATATTTTGAGGTGTTCCATAATGTTTCGAAATATTTTATTATATTTCAATGTATTTGCACAATTATTTTAGAATATTTCAAGGTATTTCAAAATTTTTTGATATATTTCGACCAATGTTTTGAAAAAATAATTCTTAAATTTTTATTATTTTTCATTCTGTTTTTGAAACGGGTCGAAAATTTTTTGAAACATGTCGAAACGTTTCCATTTTCTAGGTGACCGAAACAGTATACCGAAACGAAATTTTGATCCTTGGTTTTGGGTTAGATGCTCTGACTAGGTATTAGAGTTGAACCTTGGGTGGCCTATGTTAGAACTGGGCCTTGGGTGGTCCTTGGGCCAAGTTTATTAGCCATTTGAATTTACTGGTACGCATGTTTGTCTATTTGTTTGTTAGCCTCACGTGCAAGCTTGGGTCTCGTGTAAGGGAGGTAGTAAAGAGAGCTTGTATTTCACATTGGAAGATTATGACCACTCAAAGTTGATTAATATGCTTAAGGGCTTCTCTAGTCATTACCAATTAGTTTTGCATAGATTGATTTATAGTTCACTTAGAACTACTGAGTTTGGTTTACAAAAGTACAGGATGGTTAGAGATTGACTGAATCATGCTTCTCCCTGAACATGGGTTGGGTTTGGGTCAGCAGAAACTCTCACTCAAAATGATAAGGTTGGCATTAAGATTGGATATTTACCTGTTCTTAAACCTGGTGCTTTGAATCAGCTTGTTTACCTTGGTTGAATCTTTGTATTTTGAATTGAATACCAAGTTATAAGATGCCCTTATGCTCTTTTTTTATAAATTGAAATCACATCAAATTTAAAGAAAATCACGAAGGAAACCGGAAGAAATCGGTGGAAGAAACCATAATGAAAGACTATGAACTACTGTGTCCATCCTAAAAAATTCTAGATTTCTTGTTTTCGTAACATCTCGTAGAAAACCTTCAGTTGGACAGTTCAAAAGGGTTAAAAGAATGTTTGAAGCCTTATTGCTACTATACTTGCCTTGCTTATCTTAGCAAAATTGAATAGTGCGCCACACAGATGTACATATCCTGGTTTTCTTTGTGAGGTTTCCTTCTGGGTGAGAAGTGGGTATAACCTTGTCCACAGGGGAGGGTGAAAAGTTTGGTTGGACTTGAAGATTTTTCTCTCGAGTATGCTAACAGTGACAAAGCTATTCAATGGCTTGAGGTGGCCATGGCCCCCCAGTGTTTTTTGAAGCCCCTACTATATATTCAGTACAAAGAGAGTTTTGTCATCTCAAGAGTATTGGTCTCTAGTATATATTTAATAAGTACATATATTCGGCACCTGTGGTCCACCCACCATGACTCAATAAAATATTGTCTTACTCTTTCTATGACAATATTCTATCTATAGTAAAATTTGTCAACCACTTCAACTCTTTCTTTAAAATATGCAATGGAAAGTTAACAAAATAATTTTATCATTCTAACTTACTCCCAATTCCCATTCTTCATTCCGTGAATAAAGTTATAGAGATAGACCCTCTTACAGAAAAGCCCTCAGATGTAGATCATAATGAATTCTATGATAGAAAAGAATGTCGAACACAACTTTGACAAAAAAAATCATTTGATATGCATTAAAAAAAAACTATTTATTTTGTTTGTTTTCTTCTTTTCTTAGTATTTTTGTTCATATAAAATTATCTTATTTTGGCTGCTATTTTTTTATGCATTGGAATTTTGAAATTTGAAATATAAATCTACTACGTATTGTTGGTCTGAGTTTTTGTGTATAAAGTTTGGCCCCTTCGATGATAGAATCCTAGCTCCGTCCCTATATACCAATAAGTTCTGTTGGTCATGCCAATCAATTCTGTTGGTCAGTGGCCTACAATTCTGTTGGTCTTTGGCATACTTTTAGTTATTTTCTACGGCTATGAATCTCTTCTTTCTTGTATATTTACATATGTTATAAAGGGGCTGTTTGATAACACCATTTAAAACTTAAAACTGAAGACTTTAAGTACTTAATGGATTAAACTCGTTTGATAACCTAAAACTTATATCACTTAATATTTTAAACACTTCTTAAAAATATGCTTAAATTTTAAGCAGCAAGTCACCCACTTTTTACTTAATGCTGAAAATGTTACTCAATAAAGATTTTATTAATTTATAATAGACAAATATACCCTCAATGCATTTTATATTCTTAACTTTTCAATACCCTCCATCCTCCTCCATAACCACCACCACCACCATTATTGTGCTTCTGTTATAGTTATCAAATCGTGTATCGGAAGACGTATTATTTTTATACAAAAAAAAAATTAGTGTCTTATTTAAACAAAACGATGTTGTTTCATCATTGGCGGGGATAAAAAAATTAGCGTCTTATTTAGACAAAACGATGTCGTTAAAGAAAAAAAAAATCAGGTTTTGAGCGTATCGGTCGTATCGAATTGTAAAAACGTATCGTTTATCGGACGATACGACGCAAAAACGATACATAACTACGATCCGTATCGTTTTACCTCCGTATCGTAGCGTATCGTACGATACTAACAACTATGGTCTTTGCCACTAACACTATCACCGTCACCGTTCGCCACCATTATTATGTTGTTGCCACTACTATCATTATGCCACCATTGTCATTATGTCACCGCCGCCACCACTACAATTGTGCCACCGCTACTATTATTGTGTCGCTGCCACTGCCACTACCAGTGTGTCACCACCGCCACCACCTTGTGTCGTTGCCACCACTACCATTGTGCTGTTGTCACTATCACCATTGTTTAACCATCGTCACCACCGTGTCTCGCCGCCGCCACCAGCACCATTATGTTGCTGCCATCATCACCATTGTGTCACTGTCACCATCACTATTGTGCCACTGCCACTCTGACCATTACCACCATAATTGTGTCGCCGCCACCACCACTGTCATTGTGCCATCGCCACTCCCACCCTCACCTTCACCATTGTGTCGCCGCCGCCTCTGCCACCACCATCATTGTGTCATCGCCACTAATAACATTATCCCACCACCACCATTGTGTCATCGCCGCCACCACTACCATTATGCCATCGCCGCCACCACTACCATTGTGCCATCGCCGCCACCACTACCATTGTGCCATCGCCGCCACCACTGCCATAATCATCGTTGTGTTGCCGCAACCATCACTACTATTGTAATACCATCATTACCACTATCACCACCACCACTGTTACCATCTTGTGTCACCACCACCACTGTTACCATCTTGTGTCACCGCCACCATTACCATTGTGTTACCTTCACAATCACCAATGTGTCACTGTCACCACCAATATTGCCACCACCACCATTGTATCACCGCAATCACCACCATTACTATCACCATTATCGTTGAGATGATAGTGATAAGAATAAGGTAGTTGTGGATAGATGGTTAAAAAGAATGACAAAATTAAAATAATAATAATTTTTAGATTTCAATTCTTTATATTTGTTAAACAGTTTGTTTCAATTCAATACTTAAATTTCAGTTGATACCAAACAGTATACGAATTAAAAAATTTAGTATTCAACACTTAAAATTCAGTATTCAGTTTTCAATGTTCAGCTTTCAGTTTTATCAAACATCACCTAAGTGCATTTATCTTTTTTTGTAAGGTCAAATATGTTTTCAGGCGTGTTTAAACGTACCTCTAACCTTAAGAGGTATACATGGGAGTAGTCGAGCATTCCAGCTACTCTCTGGCGAAATTCGGGGAGAGATTCAAATGGATCTTCCATCACGATTATACACATGAAATTGCTATTACACAACTTAAAAGGGGTGAATAGGTTAATTGAAATTAAAGCTTGAACAACCACCAATTTTTTAACATAAACTATTACAATTACCAATTAGTCAATGTATTAGCCAATTGAGTACGCGAATCTTTTTTTACCCACAAGAATATCCCTTCTTATGAATTAGTGGATGATTAGTGTATGTATACAATCAACTCAACAACCCAATCATTCACTCCTTTGATCCCACTGGTAAGCCAAGAATCCCCAAAACCCAATCGATGAATTTGTCAAATAGAGAATTTAAACAATCGTTCTATCGACCACATTGAGTGTGTGGGCTATTGCAAGTGTGTATGAAAATTAAAGCTATAAAAGATCATCCACAACACATGCAATTTGTTGATGCGAAAATCCTCTCACGAAAAATTGTGGAACTGTTCTCAGTTTACCTAGATTAATCCACTAAACACAAAGTCAATTTACAAGTAGTCGTCCTATACCTCAACCAATACCATAGTTAGATGCACCTTTCCATTGTAAATCTTTCCTCTTGAATCATTACCAAAATTATGAGTAGCTTCACTTAGATGCGCTCACCACAATAAACCATCTAGGCTCTTCGACCAATCTTCTAGGATGCACCCAAGATCCTCAAAATGCACACTCTCCAATATGGGTTTTGTTGAACTCCAAGCAATAACTTCTTTTTCAATGTATGAGGTTGAATCGGAATAATTAAGATGGTTTGCCCTTCGGGGATTAGGGATTTAGGGTTGTTCTTAGCTCCCTAAAGGTTTAGGAGGCAGATTTCAAGGTCACAATAGAGCTACCCTAGCTTGGAAATGCTTACCTTATTTATAGGTCTAAAATTAGGTTTGTTTTGGAGTCCAAGTAAACACAAATTTGTGAGTCACCGCTCTAGCTGTCAGAGAGCGGTGAGAAGATGGTTGTCACTGGAATGAAAAATGGTTCAAACTAGATCTGTAGAGCAGAGATTGCTGGAGCCGTCTACAAACCACTTGCCACTTGAGCGGCTAGAGGGCAGTCACTATTGCCTAACTCATCCGCCTTCTTCGATTTTAGCCTCCATGGCAGTCCCTACTGGTATGTAAGTTAGAAACCAAACAAAAACTAGACCTATTGAGAACTAAGGAGTGTTGCTCAAATAAGATCTGATATATGATTTATTTTATGTTTTTCAAAAGTACATTTAAGGTCTAGAAAATCTTTTTCATGAAAAAATTAGAGTCATTTGCTGATGTTCTTAATTCCAATTCTATTATTCTAATTAACCAAAGTCTATAAATAAACCAAAGTTTCCTAGGTATCCAGGTCATTACCTTTGTCCTAAGCATTGAAGGTTCGTTGGAGATCTCTTGATTTGGCTTTGTAGCTTGAACTCCGTCCTTGATGTTTTCAGAACTTGATCTTTGAAGCATCATGACTATAGAATTAAGTTGAGATTTACATTAAGACTTCACGAAATTAGCTAATTACAATCAATTTCCTATAACATTCTCTCTCTCTCTCTCTCTCTCTCTCTGATAATGTCAAATTTTGGATCCCAGAATCAGGTCAGGATCTTTCATTCTTTTCAATAAATGTTTGGTGCTTCAAGTTCAGGTGATAATATCTTTCATGCAGTTCATCTATACTTCCTTTTTATGCATTTATTCAAATGGAACTGTGTCAATTTGCAGGATGTCCACTGGCATGCTTCATTTTGCGAGATGTTACAAGCAGAGAGTCTTGCGAAAGTCCTTCCTGGAGTAGAAACTGTTGAAGAAGGTAAGCTCATGTTCTGATAGAGGGTTCCTATCAAGTCCCACCAGGTTATTTTTTGGTCCTAGAGATATTGACCTATTAAAAAATCCCTCCTGTAGATGGCATAATTTTCTTCCTGACTGGTTGTTTGAGCATGTATATTTAGAGCACTCAAAACAAATTTGGGAACAAGAATGAAGGATCACTGAGTAGTAAAATAGAAACTTGTAGCAAAAGAATCTATTATAAATACCACAATTAGACTCAGCCCTGCATACTGAACACTATACACTATCATCAAAGTGCAATTGTGACTACTAGAAGTTAACTTCATGAATATCTTTTCTAGTTGGCTTAATATGGTGCTATATTTTGTCCTCACAAAAAGTAAAACAGAGACAAAAAAGATAACGAAAACAAAAAAGGGAAAAGGGCTAATTTAAAGCAACCTTCCAATCCCTTTGAAGGTCCAACAAAGTGACCCCTCTAAAATTCCCTGCAGCTTTGGTCCATAAAGAAGCGTGAAAAACAATCCAGTCCCAAACTGATCTCATTAGCAATCAACAAAGGGTCTCTCACAGTTTCACCAGACTCGGTTTCTCTCTCTTTAATAAAACTCTTCCTCCTTCCATTTACCATCATATGAAAGAATTCGGTGTTACAGTCACCATCCTTCATCCATTCAACTCTAGTCTTCTGCCTCTGACTGGTTTCGTCCCTCACCAGAATTTCTTCGTGAATGTATCATATCCTTTTTTGCACCATCCATGATCTCTAGGTAATCATTTCTAGTACTCAAAAGAAGTACATAATCACTCTGCTGACAGAGGAGACGGTGGAGGAATGTGATGATATAATAGTGCCCTCTATACTGGCTGAAATATACTTCTGAAGAGATGGAATGGTATCATTATCCCCCAAAAGTTTGCTTCTCTAAAGGTGGGTGTGCACTGGACACTAATTGGCCCAAGTCAACTCCTTCCTTAGTCTTCAAAATTGCGGTCCTAAACAACTAGTTATTTTTACTCCTCTAGATATTCTCCTTTGTAGAAATATATTCATGAATGTATGTCAGATATGTTTTACTGTTACAACTTCTCAGGGTTTTCTTGCATACACCGACAGTAGATGGAGAAGGGGGATAAGTTCTAAAATACCCTCTTCTGAGCGCCCAATCATGCCCTAATGAAATAAGTAAATAACAGCTAATCATAGTCTCAAGCTTAATGAAAATAAATTGTGTCCTCCCCACAGGATAATTAGACTACCTGTTTTAGCCTCCCTGAAATTGGCCAAGACATTTCAAACCCATGAATAAAACATCTTAATGTTACAAAGAAGGCCTTCACATTATTTAGTAGCAAATTAAAATTTGAATCCGACCATGCTCTCGTGGGCTACAACACGATAAATTTATCATTTGGTTTGCATGGATAATAACAAAGATACTATGCTTCAAGCATTGGCTTTTATAAGACAACCATTAAGAACTCCTAGGACCATCAAACTAAACACCATATGGATATTTATTTTATCTTTAATCATATGACCTATTGCACAAAAAAAAAAAAAAAATATCTTAATCACATTTAGATGAACCACAACAAATAAGGTCTATAACCCGAACTAATTATTAGTTATGCAAGAAATCAGTAATTTTACTGTTTTTTTTATTGAAATTTTTTTATTTTACTGTCATAGAGTCATGTTTTAGTGGAGTTATCATTGCTGAAACCGTTACATAATCCTTACCTCACCTCTACGTACTCTCATTGAAACAGCAGAAGGAGATGACTGAGTTTGCATACAAAAATATGATTCTGCCTTCTGATGAGTGTCTATACATTGCTGATATAATGGTGAATCTGTTAGGGGAACACTTACTATTCCTGAGATTTGAAAAAGATTATTAGGAAAGAAAAGGTCAAGGTATGTGGATATTTTGAGACAAGTAGATCCTCAAGGACCATTTGTTTACATGTCATTAACCAATTTTGTTCCTGTTAATTGAGGCTGCTGGATAGTTGCCTTCAAATTTTGAACCCGTAACCTTGCGGGTTTTTCTTGCGCATGTTAACACTGCTCTAGGCAATGACCCCTCTCAAGGACCAATAAATTAAGACTTGGCAAACGTGAATAGAAGACTAGCTGAAGAATGACAATAATAGATAGAAGCAGAGAAGGTTTTGTTTAAGTTCTGCTTGAATGAACTTTATCTCTTAATTTCAAAGAATGAGCTTTTTCTGAAAATATGACCATGCAATGTAACTGCATTTACAGGCTCGTACATATTTTATTTTTCTACGTTTAGTACAATGCACATCCCTTCTGCTTGAGTTTGATGGTGTTATTCTTCATTTTAACTGAGAATTTGAGACTAGATAATATTATAAGGCTGCTTCAAGTCAACTTTTTGCTTGCAGTGTCTTAGGAGAAATATAAGAGAAAACTGTTCTTGACTGTGAGGTTTCTGTTTTTGAAGTGTTTCCTTATCATTGACACATAGCATTTTCAGGTGTCAAAATCTACAGGAAGTTTTACTCACTAGAGAAGGAAAAGTCAAATGGTGTTCTTGCTATATGCGTTACAAAACCAGCTTTGCAGCTTTACAATTTTATGGCTAGCATGCTTTTGGTAGGTTTGCTTACACTATAATGATTGTGTTTAATTCTCTTATTTAATTCACTTCTTTTATAAGAATCTTGTGTATGATTGTATTCTATGGTACTACTTTTTATTGCATGCTGTTATGTTGTGTCAATCATGACTCTCGAGAATTGTAAAAGGATTACTTGGATTTTCCCAGCTGTTGGAATAGATGGTGAGAAAATCATAATTAATTTAGGGATTTGAAGCTCGAACATGGCCTGAAAGATGCAACTGTAATGCTTCATCGGACTTATTTGCATTAGAAATGAAAGATTCTTTATGTAGTTATTTATCGTCACTGGGAAATGAAAATGGTTGAAATAAAATTAAAGGAATTCTTTTGCCAATCAGAAATAACAATAAGGAAAATTATATTTTAACCGTTGAACTACTTGAATTGGTTTCACATTGCCTCAAAACAAAAGGTCTTTTGTTTTGGACGGAAAATGTCTGTTTGTATTGTAAAATACACATTTTTAATGTCTGCAAGAGGGTGATGGGAAACCAATAACAATAAGTAGACACGCAATGTGAGAAACGTGATACTTGAGGGGACATTAAAGGTGGAATTTGAAAAAACCATGATATTGAGTGGGTAATGTGAAACGAAGGATATGGTTAAGAAGGTCAAAATATGCTTTGCCCTCTAACAACAATAAAAGAATGCTATTGACTCTGCTAAGACTACAATAATTGACATTAGTGGATGTCCTCACTTGGTAGATCTACAAATCATCAGTAATAACATCTAGTGTCAGTTGAAAGCAATGATTGGGTTGGACGACTTGTCCACTTTGCTCGACTATTGGGATGCTTTATTTTATTTATTAATAAAAGTTTGTTTCCTATCAAAAAACTTAGTCTTCTTAGTCCTGGTTTATGGTACTAAATACCTATTACCTTTGTGAATGTGACTGATGATGGACTAGGCTGCACAGCCTTGGATATGGAATATATGTAGCTCTCCCAAAACTTAAAAAAAATACAATAGGGATATGATCAACATATGTCCAACTATGAAATCATTTACAATTATTATTTTCGGTATATCTTTAATAGAAATTCAAAAATAAGTCTCACCATGATATAACTACAAAATAAATATGGATAATTAAACTAGCATTTAACTTGTTGGTTTACTTAGAAATAATTGTTGCAAAGAGATAGGGTATAACTATCTCATTTATGTAGATTTGGCACATGCTTGTAGTAGATTATTACTTAGGAAACCTTCATGTATCTTCAAAATCTTATGAATTTCACTTTGTGTGCATTAGTACGTGTGGATTCGAGAGGGACGCGTAAAGATTAAAGTTTGAGATTATACATAATGCTTGATGTATTCATTTTCATGCCCGAAGCTTATTGGTCTTGGACACAAATGTTCGAGATGTATTGTGAAATAAAATATATTTTTTTACTTATTGGATGCATATGGTTACGTGTCCTCGAGTATCCACATAGTGTAGTATTCGATACAATTAAGGATCAAAATATCATTTTGAAACGGTCGAAACATCCGAAACGTGTCTGTGTCCAAGGAGACCAAAACGAATCAATCGAAATTCTAATACTTCATGGTATTCCATAATTTATTTATTTTTATTTTGTTTTCGAAACGAGTCGAAACGTTTTTGTTTTCTAGGTAACTGAAATAATGTATCGAGACGAAATTTTAATCCTTGGATACAGTAACAAATACGAATATTTTGACATAACGAAATATTCGTGTTTGATAGATGATGGATTACAAAATCATCTACAAGTGGAGTCAAAAGGATGTTTGTCACACCAAGGTGCACTTTTCTATGTTATTTATCTTCCTCGAGGGCAAGGATCGAAATTTCATTTCAAAATGGTTGAATAGTCCAAAACATTTTCGTTTTCAAGAAGATTGAAACAAATCTGTGATGAAATTGAAATTCTAATACTTTGAAGTGTTTCATAATGGTTCGAAATGTTTTGTGATGTTTCAATGTATTTGCACAATTGTTTCGGAATGTTTCAAGGTATTTTAACATATTTTAGTATATTTTGACCAAGGATCAAAATTTCGTTTTGGTGCATTAATTTGGTCATCTAGGAAACGAAAACGTTTCGATTTGTTTTGAAAATATTTCGACCCATTCAAAAACAGAATAAAAAAAAATAAAAATTTAAGAATTATTTTTTTAAAATATTGATCGAAATATATCAAAAGATCTTAAAATACCTTGAAACATTTACAAATAATTGTACAAATGTATTGAAATATAACAAAACATTTTGAAATAATCTGGAACACCTTGAAGTATTAGAATTTCGATTTCATCATTGATTAGTTTTGGTCTCTTTAAAAATAGAAACATTTTGGATGTTTTGACTGTTTTAAGACGATATTTTGATCCTTGATTTTGATCAATGTTTTGAAAAAATAATTCTTAAATTTTTTATTTTTTTCATTCTGTTTTTGAAATGGGTTGAAACACTTTTGAAATATGTCGAAACATTTTCGTTTTCTAAGTGACCGAAACAATGCACCGAAACGAAATTTTGATCCTTACCGGAGGTAGGTTTGTTTTCAATTTTTTACTTTTTGGGTTTTTATGGGGAAGGGAGTTTGGAATTAAGATTTCATGCTTTTGTGTTTGATTATTAATCCGGTGTCAAAAACATAAAATGGAACCTGAAATTTGTCAGTTGGTTATAGAGAATACCAATGATGGCTGACATTTTAAATTGGCTTTTGAGTTTTTAAGATTATGTGTATATCTAGAGTTCTGGTATTTGAATTCATTATTTTCCATTTTGTATGTGTTAATAGTATATCGATCGATCGAGAGAGACGCGTAATTGAATAGGAAGAGAAACACCCAACATCAATTGATCACAGAGAGTTATATAGTTACACATGGAATAGGGTAATTACTCTATTGTCCCTAACTCACTAACACTCCCCCTTAAGCTGGAGTGAAGATATCAAATAGTCCTAGTTTGGAACAAAAAATACCAATTTTATCTCTACTAAGTTGGTCTTTGATAAAACTAAAAGCTAAACACTGAAAACTGTTGAATTTTAAGTGCTGAATGTTGAATTTTTTATTTCGCAGATTATTTAGTATTAACTAAAATTTAAATATTAAATTTAATCAAACTGTTTGACAAATATAAGGAGCTGAAGTCAAAAAATTATTATTATTTTAATTTTGTCATTCTCTTTAACCATCTCTCCACAACTGTCATATTCCTATCACCACCATCACAACGGTGGTGGTAGTGGTGGCGGCAATACAATAGTGGTGGTAGTGGTGGCGGTGGTGATGGTGATAGTGATAGTAATGGTGGCGGCGGTAACATTTTGGTGGCAATGATAATGATAGTGGTGGCATAATAGTGGTGGTGGTGATAGCAGTGGCACAATGATGGTGGTGGCGATGACATAATGGTAGTGGAGGTGATGGTGATGGTGGTGGTTGTGGTGAAGGTGGTGGCGGCAATGGCGGTGGTGATGGTGGTGGTGGCGACAATGGTAGTGGTGGTGGTAGTGGTGGCACAATGGTATTGGTGGTGGCAGCGATGGTGGTGGTGGTGGCAACACTATAGTGGTAGTGGCGGCAACATAATGCTAGTGACAGTGGTGGCAATGACAATGGTAATGGTGGTGGTGGCGGTGGTGACAATGGTGGTGGTGGTGGCGGTGTGACAATGGTGGTGGTGGCAGTGACATAATGGTAGTGGTGGTGGCGGCGACACAATGGTGGTGGATGTGGTAACATCAATTATGGTGGAGGTGGTGGCGACAATAGTGGCGGCGGCGGCGGCGGTAGTACAATAGTGGTGATAGTGTCTTTATAAAAAATTGATAAAATCCTTACCGAATAACATTTTCAGCATTAAGTGATAAGTATGTGACTTACTACTTAATTTTTTTTTCTATTTTTAAGAAGTGCTTAAAATATTAAGTAGTATGAGTTTTAGGTTATCAAACAAATTTAATTTATTAAGTGCTTAAAGTATTCAGTATTAAGCCTTAAGTGGTGTTATCAAACAACCCCTAAGTGACTTTCTAAAAATATTTGCCAACTGATCTGTAGACCGTACAAAAGAAGTAGTAATCTCCTTAGATTGAAGCTTTTCATGAACAAATTGGCAATTAATCTCAATATGTTTTGTTAGTTCATGAAAAATTGGATTCGAAGCAATATGAATTGCTACCTAATTATCACAAAATAATTGCATTGAAAAGGTTACTGGAATGCCAATCTCATGTAATAAATTCTTTAGCCATATAAGTTCATACTTAGTTTGAGCCATTGCCCTATATTCTGCTTTGGTACTAGATCGGGCCATAACACTCTATTTTTTACTTTCCTTTGTCACCAAATTCCCTCCTAGGAATGTACAATATCATTTAAGTAATTGTCGTTTTGTAAGACCATAATGAAAATACAATTTTTGTTTTTCTTCTAGGCGAATCTGATATTGAGATTTTTTACCGCAAAACAATTGGTTTCTAAGATCATTTCCAGCTCTAGGCTTTTTATTAGTTAGTCTTGGTAAAGCTCCCGGGTGACGTATTTTTTTGAAATGAGGTCCTCGGTAACATGACATAAAGACTCTGTTTTCTTATTTATTTTATAGGGAACCATCACAATCCGCATTTGTAAAACTGACTGCATATAAATATCCATGAGCTCTATATAATAATCCTTGACTAGGAGCCTTTTTCAAATATCTCAAGATTCTAATCACTGCATCCCAATGAGGTACTCTTGGAGATTCCATAAACTGACTTGCAATACTAACCACAAAAGAGATATATGGCCTTGTAATTGTCAAGTAATTCAATTTTTCCACTAGTCGTCTATTTCTTTTAGAATGTTTCAATAACTCCCCCAATTCTGTGGTCAATTGTGTATTAGATTCCATGTAGCTACGTCAATTACAAGAAAGTACCTCAACTTACCAAGATCTTTAATATCAAACTTATGCTACAAGAATGCTTTTAGAGCAATAATACGTTCACT